AGAGAAGAGAGAGAGTAATATAACTCCTAATGAAAATAGTTCAAAAAGTGCTCAAACTTCAGATTGTGCCTCATTCTCATCAGTGTTATAAAAGCTATGAAAGGGAGTCAGCTTGGACCGGCTTTCACAAACCCAGACAGGAAGCCAAAACAACCATAATTTTAGCATAGCTTGGTAGGCCTGTTAGTTCCTGTACCATCTCATCATTTCCTTTGAAGGCTTCTTCATTGAAAGACAGCACATTAACTTTGTCCTTAAGACAATTAACCTCAGCTCTTAATCGTGCACACTCGTTTGTCAATGCCTTGAATGTAGCTTGGCAGGCTGCATTTGAGCATGGTTCCACAATACCTGAGCTAAGAATGGCTTGAGAGTAACTGTGGTCATCTTTCACACATTCTACCTGTTCAACTAAGGTGATGTCAAGCCCAGTGGCATCACTGGTGCTGGAAGGTGCCACAGTCTCATGGTCACTATCAGAAACCGAAGTCTCAGTCCATTTCCTTTTTATCTGCTGAGTATGCTCAAATCTGCTAATGGCATAGATGCTTCTCTGCCGCTGTCCAGCTGACGTGTGCGCAAAAAGGCTGGGGATGTAGTCAGGACTCATGGGGTTGTCATTTTTTCTTCCTAAGCAGACAGAGGCAAACATGGTAGAATATGAATGTGTGTATAAGGCCTCCTAATAAGATAATGACAAGTATTACGATCCAACTTAGGTAAAAGTAGCAATAATACATGTAATATAAATACACAAGTAATTTAAGGCATGCATTCAATAATATTGAGAACGGCAATTTCTTTCTCAGTTTTCTGCCAGAAATGTGTCTTTTATTCAAATGCAGTCGGTTTCAAGCGTAAAGGAACACAGAGCAAAACTAATGTAGTCCTTTCAAAACTGGGAATATTAAGTGCTATGTTACCATTACACAGCTAACGGTAATTATTATTCGGCAACTGAATTATCTATGTTGAAGTATTTAGAAAACTTATTTCTGACAAAAGAAGCTAAAAGATAACAATAAGTGAAGAGCTTACCGGAAACGAAGTGTTGACTACACAATCTGGAGTTAGATGTCGGCTGCCAGTGATCCCTTCTGATGGCAGCCAGCCATTTATCACGACGGTCTAAGTCTTTGGGGATCGATACAAACTGTAGTCCGGGGTTCCTCTGGCGACTATTGTCACAGCCCACAGCACAACAAATCCCAGGCATATCCACAAACTTTATTATTCACCATGTGTCTTTCTCTGTTGCTTCCTCCGTATTCTCTGTTGTTGTAATGACTTGCTGTGACCGGACACCAAAATGGCGGCGCTAGAATACAGTGACGTCACGTGGTACCCATGAATAGAAGTCTCAGTGGGAGAATGCACACAGCATAAGGTAGTACCCATAGAGTCCAGTAGAGGGCTCCGCCTGTGCTAATATAACAAGAGTTACAATACGTAACCCAACATTTTCAGACTGAGGGTGAAAAGAAGTGCTACAGAACAGGCAGTATGAGGATAATAAAGCACTTTTTACATGAGGCGCATGTAAACATGTCACAATAGAAAAATGAACCTGAACATTTGAATAATAGGGCCTCCTTTTAAGGTTTTAGCTTAATTGTCAAACAAACATTAAGCTAACTGATTCATATGAATGTGCCCCTCTGTTTTTTAATAATTAGTTTCCACCAACAGCCAAATCATTTTTAATTTCTCTGCTTATCACAGTGGGTCTCTCATTGAGGTTTGAGCAGCGTGACAAGTTAGTAAAATCCATTAACATTTATTTTTGTGCTGTAAATGGTAAATTATTCCAAGAAATTACACGTCACCTGCTGCCACAGATTCCATTCACTGTGTCGTTTAACTAACAGGACAATCAACCTCGCAGTCACATTGAGCTTTTGTTCATAAACTCATCCAGAATGCAGCGGCTCGTCTGGCCTTCAACCTTCCTAAATTCTCCCACAACACGCTGCTCCTCCGCTCCCTTCGCTGGCTTCCGGTAACTGCTAGCTAGAATCCACTTCACTGCACTATAGAGGTTTCTCAATACTCAAATTTCCCCTCCTCGACTCCTCGGTCCTCCGGTAGTGACCCGGAAATGAATTTCAGCGCGCCATGTTGAAGGACATCTAATTTCTCTAAATGCACTTCGAGGACCGAGCATCGAGCATCGAGGAGGCTCTCTGGAGGAGCTCTAACCGAGGAGACACTGATGGGTCCTCAACGGATGCATTTCCGGGAACGGTGGAGGCGTGACGCAAGGCCGGACTTATCTCAGCCAATGACAGCTCTGCATGCATCCCCTGGATATTATTTTAGTAACTGCTCTCATCGCGACGCAATGTTTACAGTGAGAACAGCTGTGAGGTCCGTGCAGAAAGCAGAGCAGTGTGTAAAATATATATCACTCAGTTCAGGCGTACTCTCTTTAGGCCTATTTGCTTTAGTTTAGTAGATATCTACAAACAAAGAGTCG